TTAAGATTTTATTTTCAATTAAAAGAACACACATGAAATGTAGGACAAATCAAATGTCTTATAATAAAAAAAACAGAAGGAGTACCAATTTCCAAAAAAAAAGAATCTTACGAAAAATATGAATTTATTAGGCGGCGTATTTTATTAGTATTTTAATGTTAAATAAAAGGACACGTAGTGAACTATATATAAGGAATTTCAATACGAAAAGTACTAGTAGTATTGGGAATTTCAATTCAACAAGAATTTCTGAAATGGATGAACGTAGTACACTTTGTTCTAATATAAATTCAATTGTGCTGATTGCGGAATTGTTGTTACTCTTAAGCTAACTAATTAATAGAGTTCCTGGATTTATTAGTAATCATTAGTCATTACTCTCCGGAAAACTGTTCATTAGGAAAGTAAAGCAAAAATAGGTATACTTTTGAAACTCTTGTTGAGTGAATTTGCTCTAATATGAACCCTCTTGAAGCTACCTTGTACAGTACGTTGGGTACTGTACAACACTTGTAATATCTACTGTGAGAAGCCATGAAGATCTGTAATATATCTACTGATGACAACACTTGTAAGAATTTGGGAACATGTAATTGCTAGAAAGCCACGAATATCACACCTACAAACCGAGGTTTCTACAAGTAAGTGATCATGTGATGTGTGAGTATATTTTTTTGCTGTGATCATGACAATTCATCACGCTCAAGCTACGTTAAATAACAATCAAGAGTTTCATAAAGCATTTTAATGCCTAAATTCGAGAAACCATTTTCTTTTGGTGTCATCTTTTAATGCAATAACCCCTTACTCTCTCTGATATGCTTGATCTCGAATATAAGAAAACCATTCCCTTTCTTACGCTATTTTTTTTTCTCATCCCAATATGTTAAAATCTCTTTTTGGAAGGCATGCACGATCGATTATTTCCCCTTCTAATTCGAAAGTAGATAAACATGAAAAGCCCCGGCCAATCATTAATGAAGACAGCGATGATGGGGCAGATATTCGGAGGTTTTTTCGGGTTTTTTTTTTCTTCTTCTTCTTGGGGGGTTTTTGTTATCGGATGTGGTGGCCTAAAAACTGGTTAAGTACCTTGGAGGGTATCCTCCACAAGGACATTTGATTTTGGGCATGTCGGGTCACCGTTAGCAAAACAAAGGGGAAAAAAGGACAAGATTACAGCTTCAACTTTTCTGTCCTTTTGGGGATGAATTGATATTAGTGACGCGGGACACAAAAAAAATGCTCCTTCTGAACATAAAAATTAAATGTATTCCTCAAAATGTTGCCTTCTCAATCATATGTAAATCTTGTTCGTAAGGGGACCTTATTTGTTTAACTACGTGATTGTGTTATAAGACACAGAACAAATAATAATCTAAGGTTTACCTTTTCATATATATATAGGACGATATAGAAATTAAAAAAAAATTGCTCTGTCAATAAAAGTGTTTCTAATTAACAAGCTCATATTCAACGAGGGTTGCGGGCAAATTTTTGTTAATACATATTAGATCAATCTTCTTTGGACAAAACGCATTTTTCGTCCCCCAGCTTTTGGAGGTACCAAGATCGAGTCACCATGAATTTTTAATTGACAAAAATAGTCCCTTAAAATATTTTGTCATCAAGTTCAGTCAATTTAACAGTATTTTTAAAGACTTAACGGTCAAACTTTTATTTCTGTTAAGTATTTATTTTTTTTATTAAGGACAACAAGCACTTTTCGTCCCTAACTTTTAGAGGTAGCAAGATCAAGTCACCATGAAATTTAAAATATTTTTGTTATCAATTTCAATCAATTTAACAGAATTTTTAAAGATTTAACGGTCAAACTTTTGTTTCCGTTAAGTATTTAATTTTTTATTAATTTCTTTACGAATGGTGAGGTCCACTACTTTTGACCCAACAATTTTTTTTTGTTTTACACTTTTTTTTATTAAGATTTAATGTTATTAATCAAAATTTTTTTAAAAATCAAAAATAAAAAAAAATCAACAATGGCGGCTCACCACTCCCGCCGCCACCACCACCTCCCCCACATCCTCTGCCGTCGCCACCACCTCATTAGGGATCAATATCACATTCTCGAATGAATGACCCTTTCTAGGTATGAAATAAGTCAACCCTCTTAACAATTATTTCGGTCCGGCCTTCTAACACGTCGTAGAAGAGATCACCAGAGAGCTAGACCATCCCAGATTAGATTGGAGCGGCTTAAATGGTCTGTGGCTTGAAGAATTTTTTGGTAAGGAAAAGAAAATGAATTTTGAGTAGGGGATGTTAAATGACGAAATTAGGTTGTGATCATTTGGAGAAATGAAATGAAAAGAAGGAGTTGATGAGGTAAATGATGCTAAAGAAACATCACCGGGAGTGGGAGTCCTTAGAGCACTCTCCCAGAAGTCCTCCGGCGAAGGACGGCCCGGATCAACCTTTCCCAATTAAGTTTTTGATTTGATTTTTTTTTAAATTTTGATTAATAACATTAAATCTTAATTTTAATGTAAAACAAAACAAAATTGTTGGGTCAAAAGTAGTGGACCCCATCATTCATAAAGAAATTAATAAAAAATAAAATATTTAACGGAAACAAAAGTTTGACCGTTAAGTCTTTAAAAATTTTGTTAAATTAATTGAAATTGATGCCAAAAATATTTTAGGAGACTACTTTTGCCAATTAAAAATTTATGGCGACTCGATCTTGCTACCCCCAAAAGCTGGGGGACGAAAAGTGTGCTTCGTTCTTAATAAAAAATTAAATACTTAACGGAAACGAAAGTTTGACTATTAAGTCTTTAAAAATTCTGTTTAGTTGACTGAAATTAATGATAAAAATATTTTAAGGGACTATGTTTGCCAATTGAAAATTCATGGTGACTCGATCTTGCTACCCCTAAAAGCTGGGGGACGAAAAGTGCGTTTTGTTCATCTTTTTTTTTGATAAGTGTGCATGTATTCCAATGAGCTTGGGTCACTGAAATTCATAGGATAAGTCCCACTTCAATCGTGATGGTTTTACTCTTTTAGATGTAGATACAATAATACAAATAAAATTAATTAGTGTTATCGATTGTGGACACCTTGCAATATGGAAAAAAGAATATAAATGAGAGAAGACACAATTCTTATTGTTTGAGTCAACATTGTATTTGAAAGTGAAGACCGACTCGGCTCAAACTAATTTCAAACGATTGTGTGATATTCTCAAGATACAGAGTCGAAACGTTAAGACTACTCAAGGATGCCAACACCTTCGACGCAAAACGAGTATGAATGTTTAAACGTCTATTCACACAAATAATGAAATAACTCTCAAAAACATGGATAAAACGGCCAAATGAGCCCAGCTTTATTGATTTGATGAGAATGAATCGACTCTGAATAGCCAGAAATGTTGAAAAGTTTACAATAATCAATACGAAACGTAAAGAAATACAAGAAAGCTTTATAGAAAATAAATGGCGGAAAAGCTATAAAGAAAACTAGATATCTGATTTTTGTATGATGAATTGTATGTGTCTTGCCTTCTCTTCTTCATAGCTTTTATAGACGATCCGCCAACCCTAGTTGAAATGCAACAAAAGTCGAATATGACAAGGGCTTTTGTTGCGGTTGGAATCCTTCTCCGACAAGGATTGTAATGTCGATGATACCTTCTCCAATTCATACTGTCGACCGCCGCCTCTTCCCTGGACGCCTTATTTTTCTCGCGGGCTTATTGGTCTTGTTGCCCATACTTGTTGCTGCGATCAGCCCAACTCGTGTGGACCAGAATTGCCAAAATCGGTCCAACATAAAGCCCCCCGAGAGAAGCAAATTTGGGCTTGAAAATTGCTTGCCTTACTCTCCATACCACCATGGCCCAATATAGTGGAATGATCCAGCAACGAATCTGCTCAAAGGAAAAATTTTTGGTCAGCCCAGGAGCCCCCCCTAGCAAGTTCGCGTGTGACAAAAGAGCGGTTTTGCTAACGGCTTCTTGACTCCGCGATTCTTGAGGGTTGACTGGAGGAACATCTTTGAAAGCTCTTAATGGATGACTGAGAGAGAAAGATAACATCTCAACAGTTTTGCCATTGCTTCTACGGAAAAATATTTTCTGATTCTGAATCGAAGGTGAATCTGAAACTGCCACGCAAAATCTTTATTAAAACAGCAGCTGTGCCTTTCGGAATTTTCACAACTATCATCCCACAAAATTGTTCTAGCTACCAGAATTTCTCCTAGCTAAGCAAAAACCTTTTTTCTTCCTTTTTTGTGTTTATGCAACTGTTCAAAAGAAGGGCCGGCACTAGCGACGCAAATACCATGGCTTATGACAAATCCAAGGCTGCAACACATGGGGTGAAGCCAGAAGACATCAATTTCTTGAAACCGTATGAAGAACAAGTGATGTTGCCCTACAATCGATCATTGCAGCACTTTACTTTAGGGCCGAATTTTCCATCGGCACCAGAAAATCTCAAAGAATACATTTTGTTGCTACACCCAGAAGAAGCATACCACAAATATGAAAATTCCTGCAAATTTGAGAGCTTTGTCCGGATTCGGGAGTGGCCATGGTTCGACAAGGCGGAGACCCATGAGGCATTTGTTAAGTGATACAATGAATTGGAGCCGGAATATGGAGATACCTGGAGGATGGCCGGCATTTACGATTTGTTGCAATTTTGCACCATAGTGCTTGCAAAAAACCGGGATTTGGTGAAAGCAGTGATGGGATTTTGGAGTAGGACTAGCAACGTGTTCTCTTTCCCCTAGGGGCCGATGACACCAACTTTGCTAAATGTCTGCGTGATAACCGAGTTGCTTGTAGTTGCGACTGTAGCCTTTGATGGAAAGGTAACAAACAGTGATGCAACTGCAGCAGCGGCAGGCCAACCTAGGAGTATGGCCCTTTTATCAATGAAAACAAAGGGCAGTTAAGCCATCTGCATTATATTCGATTTTTGGCTCTGTGGTTGAACATGTATGTATTTCTTGGAAAATCATTTCAGATGATTATGGATTGGTACCATGTGGCCTGTAGATTAGCTGCTGGAGAACAATTGAACTTGGGTGAAGCCGCTTTAGCAATGCTTTACCATAGTCTTCATGAAAATTGGCATAACCCAGGTTCAACTTTATTTGGTCCCGTTTGGTTATTACACTTTTGGTTGTATATGTATTTCCCAAGTCTAAAACCAGAAGGAATTTTTCCTATTGGGAGTGAAGAATCCTTGTTTTTGGGAGTGCAACAGTATGGCAAGCCCAAATTCAATGGAACTCAGACTTTCAAAGCTGTCTTCGAATCCAGTCTAGACATAGGGGTAATGGTGCGACAATTGAGTCATGATTGGTGGAATAAAAGCTTTGGCAATATATGTCACACGGAGGCAGAAAGTGGCAGGTGGGATAACATTGGCATGTTCGGCTTGACATGTGTATGGAGCCATTTGTTACAGAAAGGGATATCTTCTATGGCAGTAAAAGTGTGCAATCTTGCAATGTGGGTGCTGATATTCACGCAGAGTATTATCCAACAAATATGGTAGCCTGCCAATTTGGGTTTTCTCAGAGTGTGCCACACTTCAAAGTTTCTGGCTGGAATACAGTATTAGGCAGAGAGAAATTGACCATGGCACAGTATGCAAAGCACTGGGAGTTGATGGCTACTCTTGGGAAAACATCTCCAACTACTCCTTTCAAATTCTTTTTTGAAGCAACCCCTAGATTTGCAGAATGGTGGGAAGATTTGTCAAATACCATGTATGGCTCTGTGTATAAAGCAATCAAGACCGCATTTCGTATTGGGAAATATGTGAAACCCAAAGCTGTTGCAGTTGAAGCTGACTTCGATCCTAAAGGTTAGATATCGTCTTTGATTATTTATTGTTGCGGCTTACATTTGCATAGTTGCCTAAGTGTTTCTACTGCAGAGAAGGGCAAAGCTGGTAGAAAAGAAAAGGATGGTCCTCAGAAGACCAAGAAAACCCCTATTGCCGCAGGAGGGAAAGCCAAACAAGCGCCTGTAAAGGAAGCGCCCACCAAGACTCGCCAGTCTAGTAGACTGATTGGATAGAAGTGGTCTGCAAGTGAAGCCGGCAACAAGGTATAATAGCACAATTATTTTGTCACCCTGCTAGAATATAGTGTGTACCAATTCTGATTGTAGTGCTTGTCTTGCAGGAGAATCCGGTGACTGTCCATGGCAGTGACGATGAATTTGATAGTCAGGAGAGTGATAATGGTTCTGCTACAGTTGGGGAAAGCATTGCTGCCAAGAAAACTGTGTCTAAATCTGGCGGAGCTAAGAGTAAGAAAAAGTTGAAGGCGGCTACTTCGTCCACTCAAACAAGTTCTGGAAAGAAAGCTCCCCCATCTGTTGTAGCTCTGATGGCGCGTCTGGAACGAACAAAAGTAGGTGGACCCTGCATCTAGTGCCCCTGATATCCCTTTGGGTGTTGCTTTGCAATAGATTACTGAAATATTCCAAATGCCAGCAGAAGTAGTGTACAACACGAAGTATGACCAGTTGAAGAGCTTGCTATCTGCAATCCAATCTTCCCCTATTGATGATAACATGGCAGCAACCATTCGATTGATCTTGGCAGAGGCGGTACAGAAGCAGATAGAGTGTCAAGTCTGTGTGCCACACATAGAAGAATACCAAACTGCTTATGCCTTGCAAGAAAAGAACAAACTGCTGTCGGAGCAACTGGTGGACCAAGCGGCGCAACTGGAAGCTGAGATCAAGAAGAAAATGGCGGAAGAAGCAAATCTGATGGCCAAACTGGAGAAAGTCCAAACCAAGCGGGTTGAATTAGAATCCACCTTGGGTGCTATTGTTGCAGACATTGATTTTGCACTTGGGGAATATGGGAGTATGACTGAAACGGTAGAAAAAATTCATCCCAAATATCAAGATGCTGGTGAAACTAGCTCAGGCGAGTTGGAAATTCCTGAAGAACACAATCACTCGTCTAATGCAGAATGCAGGAATAACTCCAAATTCTCCTTCGGCCATGGATCAGTTGTAGCCAGAACCAACAGAAGTGGCTCCACCAGTGGAAGGAGGCAGAGCAACAAAAGAAGCTTAGCAAAATGTGCTGGCAGGAAATGATGAAGAGCCGTTGGAGGTTACGCCTTTGCATAGTGCACCTTATGAAGGTGTCTTGCCACCATCTCCTTCTGCGTAGATAGCACCTGTTGCACTAATCCTTAGGTTGTACACCATTCTGCTTTTTCTTATGCTTTAATTGTTGATGAACCTTGCAGCGATTATGTTCCTGCACAAAAACAAACTTTTGTTTCTTTTGTTAGTAATAAACATCATTTTCTGCTCAAGTGTATCTGTTAATTGCAATATCCTTTGCCAACTGTTGCTCTTCATTTTTGAGTTGGTCCCATGCAGTAGCAAAGTACTTCCGCAAAAAGGTAGATTTGATGGACCTATCTGCAACTGTCCCATTAAGGTCTTTCAAAACATAGACCTCACGTTCTAAATGCTGGTGAATGATATAAGGACCTTCCCAAGTAGGGCTCCATTTTCCATAAGTGCGATCTTTGTATCCCAACGGCAAAACAACCTTCCGTACTTTGGCACCTACATTAAAGTATTTGTGTCGAACAAATTTATTGTAAGCACGTATAATTCCCGCCTTTTGGTTGATGATATTCGATGTTGCTGCATTCCGGTAATGGGATAATCTATCTTAATCAATTTGCATCACTGTAGCGTAGTTGGCTGAATCTTCGGCCACTTGTACCTTCAGAAGTGGAAAGAATGGCTTCAACCTCTTGGATAAGTTGGAAATGAATCGGCGAAGGAAATTTACTTTGCCAATTAAGCTTTGTAATTATTTCTTCGTTTGTGGAGGTCTAGCTTCTATAATTGCCTTGGCCTTTTTCGCATCTACTTCAATTCCCCTGGAATAGACTAAGAAACCCAAAAACATACCGAAAGTCACAACAAATACACACTTTAATGGGTTTAACTTTAACTGATATTTTTGCATGCGCTCAAAGCATTGATGTAAGTGTTGCAGATGCTCCGAAAAGGAGTGTGACTTCATCACCACATCGTCTATGTAAACCTCCAAAACTTTCCCAATAAGGTCATGGAAAATACAGTTCATTGCATGTTGATAGGTTGCTCCTGCATTCTTTAACCCAAATGGTATTACCTTCCATTGGAAAATTCCTAATGTTCCTGGTGCACGAAAAGCAGTTTTGTGAACATCTGCAGGAGCTATGAAATTTTATTGTACCCAGCATTGCCATCTACAAAGCTCATGACTTGAAAACCCATCAACCTATCAATTAACGTTTCAACAATTGGCATATGATATTCATCTTTTGGTGATGCCAAATTGAGATTACGGAAATCTGTACAAACTCTTTTGCCATTTTTCTTGATGACAGGAACCACATTGGATAACCATTCAACATACACTGCCACTTCAATGAAATCAGATGCCAGTAGGCATTCAATTTCTTCCTTGACTTTGACGACGACATCCTCAGAAAAACGCTGTGGCGGCTCCTTGAATGGCTTAAAACCTTTCCTCAAAGGGATACTATGCTCTACTAAACTGCGGTCCAACCCTGGCATCTCCGTATAGTCCCATGCTAAACAATCATGGTATTGTTGCAATAAAATTATCAATTGCTATTTTTCATCGGTTGCCAAAGAAGAAGTAATGTATGTAAGTTTTTCTGTGCCTGATGAACCTAGATTTACTGCTTTGACTGGCTCTTTGGTAACAACTGCATCATCATTGAGTTTTGGTGTTGCAGTGAGTAACTCATTCAATTCTATTACTTCACTGTTGGAAATCAGATAAATATCATAAATCACATCATCCCAACATATCGACGGCGTTTTAGTTGCCCGTCGACATTCATTTCCAAAATATTGCAATACTCGTCAGATCGCTTCCTGTTTCTCTTTTGCTTTCAACAACTCAACATCCAAACCTTCTGCACTCAATACTTCTAGCTGTTCAATTTCCTTCATTGGAAACTTCTTCGATAGCTGGTGCGGCTGGTAGCGACCTTAACACATTGTAATTGTACGGCCTGTTGACTTCTTGCCAAAGTAATTTCCGATTAAGGAAGATTCATATCTCTACGCATAGTGGCCTACTTTGGCTGACCATACTTGTCCATGCCGATAAGCCGATACGGACCTGCCAATACGGACCTACTTCTCTATCATAGTAATATGCTTCCACAACATTGCTTGTGCCGCAAAAGGACTTGTATCGGCTACAATAATTTTTGGACCTTCAACTCCCCACAAAATAATTGCTTGATGCAGAGAAGAAGGGATGCATCTTGCTGAATGAATCCAATCTCGTCGTAAGATGCGTTGGCGTCAACGACAAAGAACGCCGATACAACGGACTGCGATCCTACTTCCACTTGCAATGGTAAAATCCCCTTGGTGCTTGTAACATCTCTTGTGGAACCACTCACAAAAACTTCAGTCAGTACTAGATCCTTTAGTTGCTTGCCTAGCTTACGTAATGCCCTTGATGGTAGAATATTTATAGCTACTCCATTATCTACTAATATTCTTTTCAAAGAGATACCATCCATAACTACGCTGATGTACAATGGTCTGATATGGGATGCAGAATCTTCTGCCGGTTGTGAGAGCATGATAACTTGACTCTTTCCTTCTTGTGATGATAACTGAATTCCACCAACTGTAGTATCATATGGTTCAGTTACAAGCAAAGTTGCTTCAGGAACAGTAACTTGGCTTTCAACAGGCTTTGGTACCAGGGCTGTCGAAGATGATGTAGTTTGCAGACAAAACGACTTCGGCAATGTGTATACCATGTTTACTGGCAGGAAATATATATCTGGCCTGTCAAATTGTGATCACCTTTCCTCTTACCCTGAAAACTTGATCAACAACACATCCTGCTTAGCAGGTGATGCAGACTTTGCAAGTATTTTCTCTACTTCTGAATCTGCTCTATTTTTCTTATTCAGTACCTGTTGCCACTGACTTTTTTGAGTTCTAGTCATTTTGGCCCCGGTCAATGTCTGGTTCGGAAATTTTGAGTATGTTGCACGATGCCACTCACCATCATTTACGGACGATGCCTTAACATCCCTTGACAGAACGTTACTCTGTGGTGCAGGCCTTCAAATCCTTTGCCACACTGACAGTCGATGATTCTGATCACTACGCTACTCATTGATCCTTTTAGTGTTCATTGGCTCCCCTAATCTTGATTGTAAAGGTAAACGATTTTGAGAAAGAGCAGTTACGTGCCCTCTTTCTGAATGCTGTGCATTTAGCTGTCGGCGTTGATTCAAAGGACTCAAAATAGCATCTGATACTACCCATAACTTCTCTTGTTCTGGATCTAAATGTGTTTCTTTATGCACCCAAGTCTGCGTTTGCCCATTTATCATAATCTTTAAATGCCTTGCACATAGTGCAACTCATATTACTCTGTGGGTATTGTGAATTTTATTAATCGCACTAAAGGGGATGTTATTCAATAATCAACACGAAATTAATTAAAAGTTCCAGTAGAGCATATGCCATTGAATTATTCTGCAAAGATAGATGAAAACTTCTGTAGAGTATAATTACTCTGGAGAGTGAAAACAAATAAATGCTCCTAAAGAGAAAATATAATAATTCATCATTGCCTCTGGAAGAGCAATGGTAAACAAACTTTGCTCCTAAACGAGCAAGAGAAAGTTAGAAGGAGAAACTGCATTGAGATACATTATATTCTCCAAGGTATCAAAGAAGAATGTAAATTGCTCTACCAACACAACTATTTTGAATTTGAAAATTTATTATTGTCTCTAGCAGAGTAATACACTTGCTTTAAAAGACCAAGAAACTATGGTAGAATGAAAATAATTGAATAACAAATACTCTGTCAGAGTAAACGCTCATGTAGAGCAAAATTTTTCTGGTATATTTAAATAATTAATTCACTATTTTTCGCCAGAAGAGAAATTCTATAATTCGGTATAACTACTTAAGCCATTTTGGTTTCAAGACGAAACAAGAAAGTTTATATGCATTAAATTTGGAGAACCAAGAGTTTCTTCTAACAAATTAGAATATCAATCGATATGTCCATGAGATAGCCACATGTATGATTCTCGTTAATTTGCAACCTGAAATTTGCAGAAATTTTATTATGGAGTTAAATTAGTAACTTGCAGATTTTCATGTTCTGCTCTTACGAGAATTTTGATTTGACAATTGTGGTGAGTATAGACTGAATACCAGAATAATAGAATTTGAACATTGAGTGTCTATAAGAGCAATAATGAAGCGGTCTAGTAGAATTGTTTATTGCATGTGTGCAATTAAAGTAATTACCTCATGTATGGTTGAGGAAGTGTTGAAACACAAAAGGCACCAATTATATGCATAAGCCCAAACAAGTTATTACAGATATTCTCTCCAACAGTGGTTTTTGGTCAGAAACCATAAATATCCATCTTCAAAGATTACATGTGCAATCTATATTATAACCATTCCACCACAATGCACACAATGATGGAACCTCCAGAAGAGGTCAGAAACATATGTTGAACGTTGAATCTCTAATGTTTGAGATTATTGATATTGGATTAACTACTCGATGGACTGATCGTATTAGTTTCACGAGTTAGTTACTCCGAAAGGGAGATTTATTAACTACTCAATTGATTAATCTTCATTTAGCGAGTTAGTTATCCTAATATCAGGGAGAGAAGTGAAAATAGCCTATTTATAAAATTAGATGGACAATGTAATTATCTCATTATGATCCTCGATGATATGAACCTGGAGTTCAAGAGATAATGTTTAACACCAGATATTTACCAAACTGAATGTATAAATGTATCTTATATAAAAGGCTGTTAAAACTTATAATTTGATAATGTGTCCCTGAAGGACTACATACCACTATTTGTTAGTTGAATGTCCATTTAATGAGTGGTAGAACCATCGATTCTAAATGATAAAAATCCTCGTAAATGACAAGGTTTAAATCTATAGAGATGGAAAATACGAGTGATTATAATTCATAAGAATTTTAAACTGGAATAGTTTCTCATCATGGTGAATTAACTTCCAGAAGAAGTATA